TGGATGGCCAAACCCTACAGAGGAGTTGGGCGAAATTTCAAAAATTTCTTTACTCCCATCCGGGAATCCTATTCCCAATTTAGAAAACTACATTTTCAAGGTTCGTTCTTGTAACCAAACCAGAAAAAATCTAAAACCAAATCAAATGAGAGATATACCTGATACACAATCCATGCAAGAATGCTCCTCCCAATGTAGGTGTTGATCCCCAAAGAGAGTACCAAATCCTCCCTCCACTGAAGATGACACAACTTAGGGTGAGGCAGGATCAACAAGTAGTTCTTCACCAAGAATTAGTGATTCTTCAGCAAGAATCAAATGGTACAATGAGCACAACTTATAAATTGTTTCTTCTGGAAAGAAACAATATCAAGACCAAATCTTGATCCAATCCAAGAACTGGAGATCGAACAGGGTGGGGCGGCAAGAGTAAGAAGAAAATGAGCAGAAGGCAAGAGCAGCCTAACTGTGTTGTCTTCTCTCTTTATTCAGCGAATGTCTTTTGAGGTTAGCCCTGCTCTCTTATTTATAGCCTTAAAAAGAAAATTTCCTAATCCCATTATAAGTTTCCTAATCCAAATCTTTTATTTGGATCTGGACTCTTTAAGTGATAAGGATAATCCCTTATTTTATCTGCAGATAAAGATCATCAAATTAGGAGTTCCTTTGATCTAACTCTTTATTTGGATTTGGACTCTTTAAGTGGATAAAAATAATCCCTTATCTTATCTGTTAATCCAAATCCCAGATCCACCCCTATTTAATTAATCTAATTAACCCAGTTTGAAATGGGCTTTTAGGCCCATTAAGCTTTCAGGCTTACTTCCACTTTAACGTTAGCTAGCTTGGCTCTTTTTCTATGGAGTGGGACCCTATCATTGATCTACACATCAGCCACATTGTTTTAGCTTAGCCTCTGTTACAAAGCCTGGCCGAATTCACTATTGAATGCAGTAAACCCCTGAGTCCATCACTATGGGCTTTTAATGGGCCCAACATTTACACTAAATGGTCATTGGGTTCAGCCATCTTATGAAGGCCCAAAGACTATGGGCAGATGTAAGATTAGCCCATCAAGTATAATTCTCAATGGTCTTATACTTAACCTCTTAGTTCATAATGATCAATCACTACCCGACAAGAGAGGACCTCTCCCTCGGTTGCAAGCTGCAGTGTTGCACTCTCTACTCACATGGATCCCGGGAATTAAAACCTTTTGCAAACATTTTGAAACCATAATATATATATATATATGTATATCTCTATATAAATATATTTTGCAAAACAAATTTCATTGGTTGAAATCAACTGCTGGCAGTTTAGGTTTCCATTAGAGAGAGTGCATCCCCGATCATTCACTTTGTCCGACAAAGGGGCTGATCTTGTCACTGTGATCACCCACTTAGATGAATTCTCAAACTGTCCCAACATACCTAGGTTTTGACACCCTCTAAGGGTCTCACTGGTTGGTATATCAAAGACAACCTAATTCGACACATAGTGCAGTATCATAATCGAGTCTAGGGGTCAGGTGTAACATTCCAGTTTTTTCCATCTATCTCCAAGGTCAAGGGCAATACTAGAATTTTGGTTCGGTTAAGGGTTCCATTCACTCTTTACCATTGAACTGCTTGTCAATATTGTTGACTGATCAGTAACCGTTGAATCGTTTGACATGGTCAGCAAGTTGCAAGGTTTGAAGGTGCATATATCTTCATTTTGGGCTAAGAGTTTATCGGCTCATGTGTGTTGTAAGGTGCACGATTCCACATAAAGAGCAACAAATTTCAAAGAAACAATGAGAATTTCAAAATATATTAATTATTAATAATATTCCCTAAAATTCAACAAGCCTTGATTATTTGGTTGGCTATAAATAAAACAAAATAATTTGAACTCAAAAGCCGCTCGTAATATCTCTTTTAACGCGAAAATATTGATGGTCCTTAAAATTAAATAAAGGGTAAAATATAAAAATCTCTCGTGAAGTTTCTGATAATCATAAAAATCTCCCCTATAATTTTATTTTAATAAATACCTCCCTGAATTTATGAGAAATTCAACAAAAACCTTCCTTCCGTCACTGTTCCAAATGGAAAACGTTAGATTGATGCACCAATTTTTTCTAAATACCCATTTTACCCTTTTATAAATTACTTTACATACAAAATTACTGAAATAACCCCATTTTAACTCAACAAAAACCTCTTTTAACAATCATTTCAGTAATTTTACATACAAAATTACTGAAATATGTTTTTTTGTTTAGTTAAAATGGGATTATTTCAGTATTTTTGTATATAAAATAATTTATAAAAGGGTAGAATGGGTATTTGGAAAAAATGGTGCATTAATCTAACATTTTTCGTCTAGAAGAGTGATGAAAGGGAGGTTTTTGTTGAATTTCTCAAAAGTTCAGGGGAGGTATTTGTTAAAATGAAACAATAGGGGAGGTTTTTATGATTGTCAAAAACTTCGGGAGAGGTTTTTGTATTTTACCCTTAAATAAAATTGTCAAATAATTTTGTTCACACCGAGTCATATTTTTGGTGCCCTAATACAATTTTAATTAATTTTTTCTTAAAGCGCCCGAAGGCTAATCCATTCATCATAAACTTTCAGTTACATCTGAGTTATAAACATCATTCCAAAAAACTGGTACAGAATACCAAGTTTTGGGGATGAACAAGATGGTGCATATTTTGCTACTTAATTTGTGGGCTGCCTTATTACAAGATCTGAAAAGAAACGTAACTGAACAGTTTGAAAGGTGGTTTATCAGATTTTTGCAAGAAGAAATGAGAGAGGATTTGGGTTAACCTCCAACATGGAATCAATTAACACTTCAGCATCACTTTCGAAAGAGATCGATGGAGTACAAGTCCAACTGCATGGTGAGTTTAATGCCTTCAAGAAAGGCTAATTAAGCTTCAGTAGTTAACGTCGAATTAGCAGCAGTTGGAATAACTCGAACAATAACCACTAAGGCTCCTTTGTCATCACGAACAATCAAACCAATACCAGACTTAATTACTGCTGAACTCTACCTAGCTACTAGACAAAAACTGGCTATGAAGTTGATGATCACTAATTTTGGGACTCCATCTACTTTGGTTGAACACTATATCATTACGAGTCATCCAAAGGGTCCAAATAATTGAGATGCATCTCCAAACTGTGTTGTTTATTGTATAGTAAAGAAAAATGTGATACATTGTTTCGTCCTCAGAATTACAAAAAGGAGCTATATTATGAATGATGCGCCAAATAAAATTTTTTGAATTTTGGAGTCATACCCTTCATTTTCTAGAAATGCCGCCAAGTGAAGCGCCCTTAACGGATTTGAGTTCAAAGTAGTGTCTGTAAGATTGATGGCACTTTGTTTTCTTCAAATTAAGCCCCAAGCTTAAGGACTTTACACCTACTTCTACTGTTGTTATCATGGTTTTCAAACCGGACGGTTGTACTGGAAAAACTGGGAACCGTTCAGGTGACCAGTTCTATTTTATCCCAGAACCGTTATTTTGTCAAAAATCATTGATTTGGTCAACAAATCGCTGACCCAAGCGGTTGAATTGTTTGAACCATTCAACAGTTAAACCATAGCAAAACCTTAACACCAGGGCCCAAAATCTCCTCTTGCAAATACGGGCCAGATGCCCAATAATTCAAATTGTACCACCAAATCCAACGCAGAGAAGAAAACGTACTTTGGAAATGCCTTGAAAATAGGAGCAAGGCCACTATCTTGCCAATTTAGAAGCTCCTTAAAAAGGTAGTTCGTGATTAAGGAGGAAAATAACCATTTCTAAAACCTCTCTACCAGTGCGAATTAATGCTTGTACCCAAAAGAAAACAATGGACAAAGCTATCAGGCGATCATTAGTCCTGGCCTCCTGGGCAACGAAGAAGTATGCGTTATCAACTTATGGTTGAGTATCACAGAAACAAGCCATCATCCTTGGCCTAGAAGTATCACATTAAAGAGCCAAAACGTGATGAAGAGTCATCCATGCTTCCACAAACATGACTGTTTCCACCTTAACTTGTGCATTTTGCAAAATAGTAGAAACCCGCTCAATTCCATTCTCCGCCATAGAGTGACCCCACTTCACCAGTTACATCAAAGAAGAGAAAAAAAAAAAAAAAAAAAAGAGAAACCTCACACACATAGGCGTGAGGAAAACTCACCCATCGGGTGAGAGGGAAGCCTCGCACACAGGCGAGAGAAGGCAAAAGTCATGTATAATAAAGCAATTTGCAAGGTTTAGTCTGTAATTGAATATTTAAAGGTGCCAACTGGCTCAGTTGGTGGTATCGTCCCTCACTGGTTCTGATTTCTGAGGACTTGGGATTGATTACCACCTTCACCCGGGTTGGGGAGATTACGGCATCCGGGGGGGACCCCTCGTTGTAGAGCCCAAGAAGCCAAAGAAGTCTAAAGTAAAACCTAATTAATGGCTTACTAATTCAATGGGTTCTCTCTAAATTCAATATCCAGCATAATTTAAGTTTTTCTTTCCTTTTCTTTTCTATTTAAATTGTGTGCTTCGAATTTGAGTTAATTGCCAGAATATTCTGTAGATTGTATTTGAGATTTTCAGTACCATGTCTGTTGGAAGATTTGCTGAGGACCTCGCTCCATTATCATTGAGAATCCCAGAAAGAAACTTTTGAGCTGTTAGGGACAAAGAAAACATGTACCTACGCGCAAAGTTCAAGAGAACAGTATCTCAATAACATGGTTCTTGAGAATGAGGCATCAAGGAGATGTTCCGTGCTGTGTCTGCATTCCTTGTATAATCTTTCTTACTCTTAAGCACATATCAAACCACAAGTGGCGAGAAACTCCTGATTTTCTAGCCAACTTCCGTAGAGTTGCCAATCCCAAATTTTCATCCATCCTATAGGCTGGAACTGGAAGGTAGAAACATTTCTTCTTCCGTTGTTTCTCAATACATGCCTACAGAATCCAATTTGAATGGTCGCATATCAGATCAGATGATCAGATACTTCATTTTTCACAATTGCTCTATTTTTGTAGTACTGCAGATATTGGCATCAAACCATAATTTGCCAAGCACAATGTAATAGATATTGGAGCTTGGTTTTTCTTTTTATCAGCCATAATGGTCATAGGTACCCATGTATCAAAGAAAGCTCTCAAGAAAACAAAGAGAAAAAAAAAAAAAAAAAACTGTGCTTTTGAGTGTCCATAGACCATAGGTGCAGCCATACAGGACAAATAGCTCGTTAAATGAGGATGAGTCCAACCACAACCGCCTCCTAAGATGCAGAAGCCTGGTCCCTAAAATGTGAGCTTGCCTCAGTCCATCACAAGCCAAACAACGAAACAGGGTCAATAAGATGAAAAACCCCTTTGAATTAGCAACGTTACAACTAATAGCAAGGTTCAGGTGGTCAACTGGATACTGGATAAAGTTCTGTAATGCAGCTCCCCATTGCAACTTCCCCTCTTTTTGTGGAGCAGATTGCGTACCACTTAGTTGCAATCTAAACCTAGCATGGACTCCATTAATTCACAAAAAGAACAGAAAACCATATATGCACTCTAAATTGCAAAAACAAGCACCAATATTGAAAGGAAGCTCTCCTCTAACCTGCTCCAAAACAAGCCCTCTTGTTGGCTTGCATCTCTAATTCTAAACCAGTTACTACTTTTTGCAACTTCACTAGGTGACTTGCAACTGATTTGAAAATTGAAATTGCACAAAAATATCTGATCATATCCAGGGAAAACTACATGATTACAGTTTGGAAACGGATTAGATATGTTTGGTGGCACTATATGAGATGATTTAACACTGAGCTTCAGCTGCTAACTGGATAAGGTATCAAGTCGAAGACAAGGTAACAAACCTTCACATTGGAGCTTCTACTTCTGAATCAGTTCCAATAGGTTCTGTAACCACATTATTTCCACCTCTCAGTCGTGAAGATACATTGTCAATGGCTGAATTGAGTTGGCTTATCTTTTCATTCAATGTCTGCCGAGTCTTCTGCTTTTTGGATTAAAAAGAAATCAAATTAAAGTAAAAGCATATTTTCATTTGGAAGCATATTTTCAACTGGATCCAAACAGAGATGTTCTTACCTCTAAGCCTTCATCATAATATATTGGTTGCTTAGCCCTTTTGAACCCATATTCATCCTCATTTAGAAGAGACCGCCTAATCTGCTCTAGCACAATGAAGAACAAATCATGTTGGATTCATCAGGATCAAATCAAACTAACAGCTAAAAAGAGAAAATTCTGGAAAAGTAAGCATAGGCAGCTAATATGTGCATCAAGTAAAAAAAAAAAAACAGCTTTCTGAACTATACAATTGAATAAAGAATTGGCCATTACTTTTTTTGTCATGTACATGACAAGCTTTTCAAGATGGATTTGCAAAGTGGAGACAGATTCGTGTAGAGAAGATGGAGGGTAGTTATGTAATTTTATCTTTCTTTCTTGTATTTTAGTAGGTGTGTACATTAGTGTACAGCTTCTTTAATTCTTTTGTAAGGACAAACTTGTCCATTGGTTCGATCAGATTGATCAACCCTAACAGACCTGGACTAATGGCTTTCCTCTTGTCTCTTCACTTTCTCATGAACTAACATGGTATCAGAGAAGGCTGTTCTCTGATCCATTATTTTTTTTTCCAATCTGTTTGAGAACTATCCTCATCGTCAATTGGTTCTGGACTGTTCTGATCAAACCAGTTTTCTGTGTTGTGCATCCAGCAAGAGAGATTTTATTGGATCTCTCTCTGAAGACATCCGTTTGTAGTGAAAATTGAAAGTGTCACCTGGTCTTCTTTTTCGTCTGAAAGTTTCATCAATATAAGTGAAGTACTGAGAGAGATCTATGCCTCTCTTATGGGCGGCAGCAACCAGAGAAATATTGAAAGGAAGTGTCGCCTGGTCTAGACTGCTAGCCAGAGATCAGCTACACATGCATCTCTCTGTCTACAATATAAAAAGGCAGAGAAGTATTCTTTTGATCATGATCTCTCTGTCTACAATACTTCTCTGGAGCATGCACAGGTACAACAATATCACAAGATCACAATCATGCTATATACCTAATTCTCAGAAAGCCTACAATATAAAAAGGCAGTTAACCATCCACTGCTCGACCTACACATGGAGCATGGCATTTTACCATGAATATATTTTCTTGGCTAGCAGTCTAGAAATCCCACAAATTTCACTGAAAAGGCTTGAAATGTACCTTCTTATGGATCTAGAAATCTGAGGTTACCCTCCTATCAGAACTAGAAATAACTCATACTTGGTGATCAACTATGCACGGTATTGCCAACTAAAGGAAAATAGCAACCCTCAACCATGGTTTGCAATTTCAATAATGGAAATTTTGCCATGCATAGATGGGGAAATTTCAGGGATATTTCACTAAATTTGCTAAGATATCTGGAAAATTCAAAAATTCAATTAATTTTCTAAAACCATGAAATTAGTTAATAAACCTTCAAGGAATCATTAGAAGTATAATCACACAGTTAAGGCCCAAAAAACCATGGCAAACAACTATATAAATCAAAAAAGAGAAGATTAAGAGATTTAAATAGGTATCATTCTATGTCTTACCCTTTGGTCTTTTGGCCATCTTATCTTCTTTATGTATGCCATTTTGAAATTTGTCTTTTCTGTTTCCATATGTTTTGACTAGATTGAGAATCTTCTTTTGTAGTTGTGTGCCTTTAAACATTTTCTTTTGAACTGCAGTGATTTATTAATTGAATCATAAAGCCAATCATCCAATCACCAAAACCCTATTGTTCTTTTAAGAAAAGATTTAGAAAAATGTGGTGATTTTAATGAAAAATTGGAAAGTTTCTAATAATATAGCCTATCAGTGAAATCTGAAATATCATTGTTATTGGCCAAATATAGGAGATGGAGAAGATACTCATGGAAAATTTCATACTGCCACAGAGAAAAATGGGGAAATTTCACCGATATTGTGAACTGTCCCTCCTTCCCCCAATATTTATTGGCAAAGTATAGGAGGTATTAGGAAAATAAAAAAGATTCTTGGAAAGTTTTGTATTGCCACCAAGCAGAATGGGGTTGATATTGTGAACCATGTATTAATGAAGAAATGGAAAGTTTCTAATAATATTCTAAAACTTTTAAACCTCAAACATATATTCCATGAATAAAATCTGAAATGTCACCAAAGTATTGGAAAAATATAGGAGATGTTAGGGAAAAAAGATTCTTGAAAATTTTTGCATTGCTACCCAGCAAAATGGGGAAATTTCAACGAATCTTGTCAATATTGTGAACCATGCCCTCCTCCCTTGAACTATTGACAAAATATAGAAGGTATTAGGAAAAGAAGATTGTTGGAAAATTTAGTATTGCCAGCAAGCAAAATGGGGAAATTTTGCTAATCTTGTCAATATTGTGAACCATGCCCTCCTTTTCTTTTAAAAATTATGTGGTTATGAAGAAATTATTATCCCATGTCTCTGTTCCACAGCCTTTCATTAACTACTTTTGCTTTGATTGGTAACAGAATTTTATTGCAAATAAAAAAGAATGATAAGCATTTACACTGATGTCAAGCATCCCTTACAATGACCAGTGTAAACCATCCACCCCCTATCAGATTGTATTTAAATTTAACACTTGATATTAAATGTATTGAGATGGTTTGGTAATGTGCATAGAATGCCACCTAAGCAAGTGTTACAAAAAGTGATTTGTTAACAAGTTAAAGGGGCTAGAAGAGCTAGGGGCAGACTGAAGAGGACTTGGGTGGAAGTAATAAGAAATGATTTATGCGCCCATAATTTAATGTGGATATGGCACTGAACAGAATGGAATAGCGAAACAGAACTCATGTGGTCAACTCCGTATAGTTGGGAGAAGGCTTAGATGATAATGATATTAAACCAAAATAAAGATGTCTTTTTCTTTGATAAGTATTTATGAAAAGAATGTCTTCATAAAAATATGCCCCTTCCTCCACCTCTCCCATTGAAAGATAATTGTAAAACAACAATTTCCAATGCCAGCCATTTAACAAGAGACTCAAAGCATTGCCATCTTCTCCCTCATGTATTTTGTTTCCAGTCATCTTCAATCAATTTTTTTCATTGTTACTCATTAAATATTTCTTTTGTTCCTGTTTATTTTTATTACATCTTTCTGAAACCTTGACCCCTAGTTGTCGCGCCTAGGCGACTAGGCGCTTTTCAAAGAGCGCCTCGCCCAAACGCCAAGAAAAAATGTATTAGGTGCAAGCTTAGGGGACTGAAACACATATATAATATACAATATTTATTACATAAAAATAATATAAAGTATATAATATTTTATTGGTTGGTTTTAGTTTTTATAATAGGACATGTTGCATGTTATCATGTTTTTGTTGCAAGTAAAAACAAAATAATCTCAAGGATTTCACTTTGACAAAAGAATCTGTAGAGAACACTGATGTGGGCCCCATAGCAGTGGTCCCCACTGTGTTCGTAGGACAGCATGTGTAGTTATTTGTTTCAGTTATAGTAGTGTCAGTTTGGGTCAGTTTGTTAATTCAATTGTTATTTATTTCAGTTTTTATTTACTTTATTTATCATGTAAGTACTAAGGGCAGATCTGTCCTTTCCATTATGTACTGAACATAACCTATAAATAATAAGAGAGTGGTGGTGGCAGATCTGTTAGAATCTGTCCCTCCTTTCAACCCCATGTGTTCTTCTGTTTCTCTTCTATTCCTTCTCTTTTCTTTCACTTTTCTTCTGTTTTGTAAACCTAAAACCTATTAGGATTCAAGACTGATTACAGTCTTGATCTTCTACTGAATCAAACTGAGGCAGAGGAGAGAACAACAGCCCTCCATCGTTCCGTTACATTCCTGTAACTCAAGGTGAGTTAATCAGTTTCCTCCTTCGTTTTGTTCACTTTTTCCACTGGTTTAAAACAGTGGTTGCACAAAATGACAGTCAACTTCGATGTGCTTGGTTCTTTCATGAAACACTGGATTGGAAGAGATATGAACCGYTDCCTGATTGYCACARTASAGCTTCATTGGAGTACTGATGTCATATCCTATCTCCTGTAGAAGGTTCCTCAGCCACACTAGTTCACAAGCAGTATGTGCCATGGCCCTATATTC